GAAGCACCCCTAAACCCAAAACCCCTAAACCCTAAGCCGCTAAACCCGAAGCCCCAAGCCCTAAACCCTATTCCCTAAAACCCCTTAACTTGCAATCGGCTTCAGTGACCTTCAATCCCACATCCTCAACTAAACCTTAAACTCTCCATCCTAAAGCAGCCAAGCCTAAAACCCTAAAGCCTAAGCCCTAACCCTAAACCCTAAGCCCTAACACCCTAAACCCTTACCCTGCAATCCTCCCAGGTGTCCGAGCCTTGCATCTTCCGCGCTAGCACGCGACCGGGTGGCATGCAGCTTCCGTAAACAGCATGCCCGAAGCCCTTAACCCTAACAGGAAATTAGGGTTTAAAGTGAAACCCTAAACCCCAAACCCGACACAAAACTTGGAGCTTCGGTTTGGGTTTTGGGGTTTTGAGCGTCAGAGCTCCCGATGTCGTTGAGGGCATCAGCTCTGGATGGCCTTAGGACTTCAGGTTAAGAGTTGAGGGTTTAGGATTTGGGTGCACTTGGAGGTTCATGGGTGGTTATAAATGGGGTTATAAGTCCCCTGATAGGGGTTATAACCATAGTTACCCTAATTATAACCCCACTTATAGCTACCCATAAACCTCCAAGTAGGGTTTTGGGAAGTCAGTTGACAGGTTTCGCTTAAGCTGCTGGGTTGAAGGTTTGAGGATGTAGGATAAGAGTTATAGGGGCGGCCTAAACCCCAAACCGTGGTTCCCATGTGGCTCACTGCAACAGAGTGGACATTCAGATGGTCAGCTTGGACACCTCAGCTTTGTCATAGTTGGGTAACGAAAAACATGTTCAAGGGTACTGACTTAAACCCAATAAGGAATAAACACGTACGTTTTTAATCCTATCCCAACCATGAACTAGTCAGCCTCACAGCATGCAGACACGAGGCCCCGGAATCAGCTTCCTATGACACGCTATGAGCATTTTTAGCCCGGGAGCCTGCTAAAGACCCCAAAGGCATCACTCCGACGGTGTGGAGATCCGCCTCAAGTTTTCCTCTGTGGGCGCGGGTCTCGAAGGGAATGGGGATTGGGTTGAACGGTTTGAGCTTTGGGGTTTAGGGTTTGGGGTTGAGGGATTTAGATTTGGGGCTTGGCTAGGGCTTTAAGGGTTCAAGGTTTGGACTTTCGGGTTGAGGGTTTAGGGTTTAGGGTTTAGGGTTTAGGGTTTAGGGTTTCCGGTTTAAGGTGGCTGGTTTGGGAACTGGGCTTTAGAGCTTATGGGCCATCACCAGGTTTCAGGGCCCACGAGCTTTTGCTTGGCGGCCATGCCTTGGGCGCCCTGCTTGGCGAACAACTTGCGATGTTTGTCATGACGGTGGCGACGACGACAACGATGATGATGGTGATGATGCTGATGAAGAAGAAGAACAAGAAGAATGAGAACCTGTGATGATGATGACGCTGACTGCGTTGATGCTGATGATGCTGATACGGATTATATTGCGATGAGGGCCCCGCCAAGCTCTGACGCCTAGCTTTTCTAGCCTTGGAGTCCGTTGTGCGAGGGCTCGGCAAAATCTGTCGTATCCACGAAGATTTATGATTTGCTCCTAGACGATGATGAAAGCCCCAGACTCATCCACCGAGATATGTGGACAGCCCGATAAAGAAGCAGAGCTTAACCCGGAGCCTCGTGCATATGAGTATGTACATACATACGTGCATGCATGCATACATGCGTGCATAGGTATGTATATAGGTATAAATCACCCTGATGCTCCTAAAGCCTTCCTCTGTAAGGCTTTGGAGGGAGAAGACTCGATCTAGCATAATAAATATGTAGTGCCTTGTCTGGCAAATAACGCGGTTCGGTCGTTAAAAGGGGAATGGTGTTAATTTGATGACAAGTCAGCGGGCTCAGCATGGTGCTCGACATGCGAGAGTGCTTTGTTTGGCAATGTCGGTATGTTGCAACGGCCGATTTATGAAGATAAGTTCGCAAAGATAATTATCTAAAAAACATACTTTTATTATACTGCCGTACAACATCGATCAAGACCGTTCGACCGCATCAGAACATTGGCAGCCAGTATTGGCATCATTGGCAGGCCATTCCTCGCTCGAGATTGCGAGATCGTATTGTAGCTAGGTGTGGGCTGATATACAGGAGGTCGCCCGTGTGAACAAGAAACCAGCAGTACTAACACCAAATATGTAGCTATGTTCTATTATGATAAACCTATGCTAGAAAACCCGAAAGCCCTAAACCTTGAACCCTTTTGCTGCAAGCTTGCTTGCAAGGACGCCCTAAACCCTAGACCCGAAACTTCACCTGAACCCTATATAAGCCCTACACCCTATAATCCTAGTTTGAAATAATTATGTACATAATCCTTAAGCTTCCTTTAAACCCATAGACCTTGTTACCGCTCGCCATGTTTTCTGCGCGGCACGGCTCGGTGCATGCCTTCGACGTGGCCAAGGCCACCGGTGCACCAGCTCCGTGCAAAAGCCGGCCACATACTTATGTGCGTACTAGGTACGGTGATATACGGTGATATTGTAGCTTGCCAGCTCCCGGTACCGCACAGCTGGAAAAGCACCAATTATTCGCTCGGAACCCAAAGGCCTAGGCCTAATTAGAGCTCATCGTCACCGCTCTCGAACCCATTCGCCCGGGAGAACTCCAGCCTTAGATTGATATAGTTTTTCTGCTGCAGGTTCAAAGGGATGGAGATTGGGCGAACCACATGGATCTACGAGGACTGTTCTCACCAAGATACCAGGAGTAGTACCTTCGGAGGATCGCCGGTTCCATGTTCTGGGCGCTCGTGGCTTTGGCAACTCCTGGGCTGGAATGTATATACATAGATATTCTCGAGGGGGCTCGAATGCCAAAATTCTATGTGCAGTGAGGCTGCCCACGATCCTGCCGTTCAGGTCTTCGTCCTTGAACGTATGATAGAATCGCGGGTTGATTCCTGATTTGGATGTCAAGCTAGCACATCTACAAACAGTTGGGATTGCACACACAGAATAACAGGGCAATATGCTGCAGCAGTGGGGCTATCCGACGTCACCCAGTATGCAAGTTCTTGCATCGCCTCAGATGTTTGGACAATGTAGCAGTTACACTTGTGATAGGTTTATCCCAGATGTATACGAACCAAGTAGCGTGAAGTTTCGGCTTCAAGGGGAACAGCATCTTCCCGACCCGGTTCACCCGATGTGCCATCCGCACATAACTCGTTGTGGAGAAATCCTGAGATTTGGAGTAGAGGCTGCTATTCGGATCATTTAATCTGCTAGGAGAACCTACAATAAGCGAGCCATCAAACCCAAGTGGCGATGAGTTGCTTCATCCTCTGAGCCGGCGCCTCTTCCAGGAGCCTCGGGTTTCTCTCCATGATGTTGAAGAGCTCGGCCAAATGGTACCTGATCGGAATTTCATTATCGAGGGTTGGGTGTAGAGCTTAAGGCATAAGTCATAGCTATGATTGTTAACAATATTTGATTCTTGTATACGTACAAAATTGGAGGATAGTTAAAACTGTAATCCTATATGTAATTACATATATAGCTATACAGTTTTATTTATCCTCCAATTTTGTACGTATACATGCATGTATATATGTGTATGTATGTGTGTTTGTGGATACGTCTAGATCTGTGTCTAGCTAGACGAAAGACTGTATTGCTACCAAGAGTCACACAGCTGGACAGAACTTTCATGTCCTCGTCCTGCACTTCGTGCAGCAGGTGCAGCATCAAGTCGGATAACCAAGCGATGATGCACCTCGCCTTAGAGGTGCGGTTTGTGCTATCATGAGATCTAGGCTTTTCCAACAAACTATATATCATCACATTAATACAGCCCTGCTGCGTTGTACCCTTTAGCAGCCATCGAGTGAAAACCATCTCCTCCCTTGAAGAACGTCGTTCGGAGCGGTGGCTGGGAATGCCTGTGCATGTTTGCAATGATCACAACATCCATCCTATATCGCACGTATTTACGATTTAATCTGTTCATGATCTATGCCGACTGAGCAACTGGATTCCTCTTGCACGTGCCCATGATGCGAAGTCTTGGTAAGCCCTCGAAAGTCGGCCGGCCGGGGGCTCGTTGATGCCACCCCACAGGAATGGCAACTCTTCCTGGCGTGCGGTAGAAGTTGGGTTAGGGCTAGGGTTTATAGTCAGATTCAGTTTTAAGGCAGCTATAATACTAATTTATCGAACTACATGTACAAGAAGAAAAATTAAACTAATGTATATACATATATCCATATATACATATATATATATATATACATTATATACGTATCAGAGGTAGAATTTTATAAATCTCGGGTGAAAACGTATACAGAATTTGGTGGTTTCGGGCTGATGGGTGTCGAGGTTTTGGGGCGCTCGAAGTTTAAGGTCGAGGGTGAAGATACATGTATGATTGCTGCGAGAGCTATTCAGAGTTTAAGGGCGCAGGGTTATGATTGTTACACTCTTGTATGCTCCTTCTGCATGAGGAACTCCATCGTAGAGGCTCCGACCCATCCAGCATACCCCAAATTGATGACATGTAGCGTGCACCAACGAATGGCAGCGGGCACCTTCAAGCACTCCACCCACAGGAGGGCACCTCACTTCGGTTCGATTCGGTCTTTAAGCTAGCTAGTTTCGGATCAGTGACACACACTAGTTATGATATAAGGCTAGGGCTAGAGTTTAGTTTAGGGTCGGGCTGATTTGTTGGCCCAGGTCACACTTTTCTCCGGAGGAGTCTGGCTTGAGGCAGGCAGTGAAGCTCTCCGTGCTGCGTCGTTCAATACTGTCCAGGTTGTAGGGGAATTGGACATACTCGTTCAGCTTCATGTGGCAGTGCATGCATATGCTCTTGTTGTTCCAGCCGAGGTTCATGTTGTAGAGGGCCTGCTAGGATCCGAGTTGTTTTTGGGTTTGATGCTAAAGCTAAACTATATAACACCTCTTATTACCTAGTCTTCCTCCACTACAGGCTACGTACTTTTAAATTTCAATTGATCAGATCTGAACGAAATCGGATGCAATCAGAAAAATGGTCGCGGGTGTAACATGTTGCACCTTCACGAACTTCCAGTCGCCCCGCACTTCTGTCGCCGCGTAGAACTTTGGGTCGTCTCCACAATCCTTGAACAGGAGTTCGTCCTTCAGGTTCGGCTTGATAACATTCTCCCATGTTTCCCTCGTGAACTCCGTCTCGAGGTGTAGCGGAGAGGCCGGCACTCGTCCATAGAATAGAATATTCAAGGAGATGGCGATCTCAGCAGGGTAGCTTGTACCGACTAATTATATATACTTATATATTGGAATCGAACACAACAATAGTACTCGTAGTAGTTGCAGGAAAGAGCACCGGGGCAAGGAAGGCATTCAGCGTGTCAAATCCAATTGACAAGCCCTGAGCTGCTTAAGTGCATACATACCATTGTAAGTACGTTTCAGTCCATTGCAAAAAGCTAATGAAACAAGAAAGCTCGAGTTCTCAATCACGGCTATAGTAACTTCTCTCAGAACGAAGAGCGGCCACGTCGCAGCCATAGAGTGCTTCGAGGTAGCCAAGCAGTCCGATAGTGTAACCACTATAAGTTTGTTGCAGTTCCGGTCATACTGGGCATCATCGCCGTACAGCCCCAAAGGTCTGCACATCTTGTCATGGATGCACGGGTGGTCGGAGCCGGTCTTCTCCATGTGCGACCAATACTTTTTGGTTGCATCCTCTAACCCTTGTTCCAAATGGCCCTTCAAGCTAAGCTGCACCATCAGCTCGTGAGGGAGAATCAATGGCATCTTCCTGGAACATGCTATTCGAAAGTACGGACATGCGGCTGACTAGCACTGAAGGCTAATTATATCTGTACATGACCGTCCTTTGCACCACGGTATCATCCGTCATTGATTTTCGCATAGGGACCAGGACGTAGCGAATGGGCACCTCGGTTGTAGAATTACGATTGGGATTTCGATCTCGCAATGCACTGTAGACATGACCGAGCATTGCAACCCACATTTGTAGGATAAGGCTCCGAAGAAGGAAAAGCCCGAAGCATGTCACGTTGGGCGTTCTGGGCATGCTGGATGTCAGCCATCCGGCGGGTGCCTCCAACCATCTCCACCCCGTATGTATGCTTCAGCTCCTGCCGGCAGGTGCTTGATTGGGATTGACGATATGCTGCTGGCGATGATTTCGGGACACGAGCAGGACTGTCCGGCCTTCTTCAGAACTCGGCTAATGTCCCGGACTTTCGTGTACGACATTCCCTGCAGTATACTCTAGCGATTGAAGGCGTTGGGTTTTTAGAGTTGAGCTTTCCCTGGTTGTTTCGGGGTGTATACCTAGCTAGCTAGCTATCTATCTAAGGGAGATTGGACTCTCAAAAAATATAGTTTATAAAGGCTCCTCCAGCGACTCCCTGTTGGGTTTGGGGTTTAGGGTTGGGGGGTCTAGGGTTTAGGGTTTAGAGGGGTTTAGGAGTTAGGGTTAGGGTTCAGGGGTGTAGGGTTTAGGGTTACATGGGTTTAGCAGATCTATTTGTCTCTTTATCTATACTAGATATATATATATATATATATATATGTATGGGGCACAGATTGCAGACACGGTACACCACTGCCGGCTGCACGAAGCAAGTAGTTCGCCATCGGACTTGTCGCGGGCGTCGAGCTCGAGGATTCTGCGGAGGGGGGTGTGCATATATTGCATCTAGGGTAACCCCTGATGTCATTCAGATGCGGAGCAACATGTGCAAGCTGATCATCACGATTTTCTTTGCAAGCCGATCATCACGATTTTCTTTCAGCAAGACACTCGGTAGGCTAGTCAGCGTGAGCCGAGGCAGGCAGATTGGAGCTTCGAGGGGCTCGGTTTACCGGATGCATATTATGAGCTTTAGATCTAGAGGCCTGTACAGGGTTTCGCTGCCGGCACAAACTCATGCTGCAAAACTTGTGTGATTCACAGATTCCACACAACGAGGAGACGAGGAGCCGTCGACGTCGGCTCTCACTTCTTGGCCTGTGCCTTCCTTACCTTTCTAGACTTTGCCTTGGCCGTGGGGTTCTCTGCGGCTTTGTTGCTCTTCGCCTCAGATCGCGATCGAGCTAATAATGCAAGCTAGCTACCAAGCTCCATTGAACGAATTTCTTTATGCTGCGAAGTTATATAATTAAGCTAGGCACCACTTGAGGTTTGATGGTCTTCAGGACAGTCTTCAGCTCTGCCAAAGATTTGTCTGCGCTCATACACAAATCAGCAAGCTCAGCGTCATTCGGGGTCTCCTTTTGCAAGGCCATGTCGATCAGCTGCCGGTCCGCCTGCAACTTCTCCACGAAGGCTTGCACCTCGTTGCTGTAGCCGGTGCGGATATTGGCGGGCCTGAGTCATGTTTTTAATTTTGGTCTAGATATCAGGAGTTTGCATGCGAGTACTTTAAAGCCAGGAAACAGTTTGCTTCCATCCACTTGGTTCTTGTAGTCCTCAGTCTCCTTCACCTTGCTTTCCAGTTCCTTCGACTTAGTCGTAGCAATCTGGCATTGCGTGCGGGGGCCCTTGTCCCGCTTAGTTTCTTTGTCCATGGCTGGGACATCTCCCAAATCTTGTGGCATTGCCGAAAACTCGCGGTGCCCGGGAGTGCCTTCCCGGGCTGCTGCAGTCCTGAGATCACGTGTAGATTGCGGTTATAAACCTAATGGATGCGGTCATAAGCACAAATGCACATATCATGCAAACTAGGGGCATGATCTGCCGAGTCTGGGAACCATCAAGTCTCGCACCTTCACCGGCGACCTCCTGTTCCACAGTGTCCTCTTTCGTCTTCTGCAGCTTTGTCATGCTCCAGACCCGGATAAGCTGCCATTCCTTCGCAACAGCAGCGTGCAGTCACAATGTCCCCCCAAAGCCAATATAAAGTAATTGCTCTAGATCTATGCTAGACAGAATGCAACAGGACAGCAACATGACTGGTAGAATATATATAGATGCAGCTAGGATTCGGGGTCTCCCGGAAGGTCGGGATGGTCTAAGATGAACGGCGTGTCCCCGGGTTTACACTTCTTTTGGAGTTCTTGCTTCTGGTGCCGCATCTGCTTGGCAGTTGCCAAGCCATGCTTCTGCTTTAACTCCCGGAAGGGCACGTACTCCTCCTCACCCAACTGCTTGGTGCTAGCAGTAGAGCGAAGGCGGATCAACAATTGGCTTTCCTGCCAATCCCCGCTCGTCTGCAAGTACTCATCGAACATCTGGTTGAGTACGGTGCTGTCTTAGTGAGATCATACGAGAACACATGGTTTATATTCGGCACACTGCAATCATGATAATTCTTGCCCAGGCCACTTCTCTTTGCCTTCGTGGCCATGTCGGAGATCTCAGCCGGGCAATCCTTGCCTCAGCTGCTGTGTAGCGGGCGTAGGATATTTCGGACTTAGCTATAGGTTGATTTAAGGCTTAAGGGCTCAAGGGCTTAGGATATATATATGGGTGTAAGGAGCTCGGGGCGGAGCGGCTCCGGTGTTACGAGAGTTTAGCTGGATTTAATGAGCTGGGCATTTAGCAGCTGGTTTAGGTTTTCGTGTCTACTTGGGTTTGAGGGAGCTTGGGGATTACAGGGTTCAAAAAAGGGCTTGCGAGGGTTTGTGAAGTTTAGGTTAGGGGTTTCAGTGGGCTCGCAGTCTCGGGGTGGGACTAGGCCGCTATGTAGATAGGGCTTGCAGGGCTAATAGGGGCTTGGGGATTTAGGCATTGAAAGGACTTGGTCGGTGGCTTGCAAGTGCAAGGATTTAGGGCTTCAGGATTTGCAAGGTTTAGTTTGGTTCTTGTGGGCTTGAGTTTTGGGGCCTCGGAGCCAATCGACTTAAAGCCCAGTGACTCCGAACAGAACGGTAGAATCTCATGTAAAGGTTGTGGGCCAACCTCTTCTCGTACTCCTCTGCACTCTCGCCCGGCTTCTGCGGATTGCTTTCCTGAGTTTTGCAACAAAAAAGAAGCTACCTTGAGGTCTTTATGTATTCAGGGTATACACATGTACATGCATGCATACATATATACATAGAAAAGCACATATATATATATATATATATATGCATACATAGTAGCATATACATATACATCCGAGGAAATGAATACATGCAACTACAGTGCTCAGTTGCATTTATTAAATACTACATATATACACATTTACATATACACATATATATATATATATATACATGAATATATATATATATATATATATATATATACACACATATATATATATATATATATACTTATGTATGTATAACCTACTAAATAGATAGTACAGATGTATACTATATATACTTATATATTTGTATTTATATATATATATATATCTATGTAATGCACGTATCTACTTGTTTTGCTTTTTACATATAACAATTGAATGTAAACTCTCTACTATTCAAGAATATCTACATTCGGAGTGTTAGTTGCTCGGGGGTTTGTTGGCATGTATGGATTAGGACAGCGATTGTAAAACAGATTAAGTACCCGGTAAACTCCAATTAGGCACTAGCTTCCTCCATGGTATCGATCGTAGACTTGTTGGCCATGGCTGTTCTCTTTGCTGATGTCGGGGCTTTTGACTTGGGCCCGGAAGGGACGTCGGCTTCGATCGCCTTTGCACCGGTTGCCTTCTGAGGCACATCCTGCTCCTCATCATCAGAAAGGTTGATCACCACATCCTCGGGTGGAGGCTGGATCACCCCGGGCTCGGCCTGACATCGCGAATTCATGTAGGCCTAAGGACGACTATTCGGAATCGAGGGTCTAGTACATATACATGATAATGGTAATTGCAACAATAAACAGATGCATGCCTTGACAGAGGATCCACAATTCGGCTTGTTATCCATGAACGAGTTCATCAGTCTGTCGAGATCTTGCAAGTCCTCGTCGTCGCCATTGTCTTCGAAAGCATCATTGGCAGTCAAGCTGACCGGAAGCCTTGCTTTGGCAGACACAGGCAACTTGTCCCACATCATCAGGAGGGCATCGGCGCACCGGTTTTGATGCAGCACTGCATCCGTCACCTTAGCATTCGTTTCCACCTGGCTCTCCTCGTAGAACAGCTTAAGGTTTGCTTCGATGGCCTTCACTTTGCTGTCGAAGGTTGCTTGGGACAGCTTCTTCTTTTGCAAGTGATCACTAAGCATTTTCTTAAGCTCGTCAGCCTGCTGTTCTTTCACCACAAACCCTGTCAGGGCTTGCTCCTGGGCAGCACAAACTTCACGTTCCAGAACACAAGCTGCTTGATACTGAGCTTCGAAGTCACGAAGCATAGCCCCCCAGCGACTAGCGTCATCTTCGGAAAGGTCCTCCAAGCCAAGCCGAGTCGTGACGGCCCCAACATCCAGACCGGCACTCAAGCAGACATGGTCCCGGATCACTGCAACACAGCTGGTCAGGTTCTGGCCCAGCAGCTCGAGACTCGAGGCAGGGATATCGGCGCACTGGAACAGCATGTCGCGTACGGTACCATGGGCATCACTAGACCACTCCATGCTAGGAGGGAGCTGTGAGTCCTCGAGTCCAGGCACAGTCGACTGTGTGTCTATGCTATGCACCTGAGTTCCTGTCGGGATCACCTGCTGAGTTCCTGCTGCCATGTCCTGTTGGGCTGCTAGCACGGCCTCATCCGGAGTGTCTGTGGGGATCTCCTGAGTTGCTGTCGGGATCTGCTGCTGAGTTCCTGCTGCCATGTCCCTCTGGGTTGCAACGGCCTCATCCGGCGTTCCTGTGGGGATCTCCTGAGTTCCTGTTGGGATCTGCTCCT